CACAGGTGACACACAGGTGACACAGTGCCGCCCCTGTCGTTGCAGTGGCACAGGGGGTGACAGCATGGCGGGGAGGTGACAGCAGTGGTGACACAGAGGTGACAGCAGTGACACAGAGTCCCCGCGGGGCAGGGCACAGACTGAGGTGGGTGCTGGGGACCCCCCTGGGACCCCAAATTGGGGACTTTGGGCCCTGCCCCTCCCCCCCTCCCACTGCCAGCCGGGGGGGGTGACACCGGGGGGGTCAGGGTGACACTGAGGGGGTTTGGGGTGACACCGGGGGGCTCAGGGTGACTTTGGGGGCCCATGGGTGACACAACGGGGGCTCAGGATGAATTTAGGGTTTCAGGGTGACACCGGGGGGGTCAGGGTGAGTTTTTGGGTCTCAGGGTGACAGTGGGGGGGCTCAGAGTGAATTTGGGGTCAGGGTACCCCAGAGAGCTCCTAAAACAGGGTGCCCCGGGGGGTGTCTCAGGGTGGGTTTTGGGGTCCCAGATGACCCCCAGGTCTCAGGGTGACACTGGGAGGTCTCAGGGTGGGTTTGGGGTCCCAGGGTGACCCGGGGGGTGTCTCGGGGTGGGTTTTGGGGTTCCCAGGGTGACACTGGGGTGTCTCGGGGTGGGTTTGGGGTCTCAGGGTGGGTTTGGGTTCCCAGGGTGCCCCGGGGGGTGTCTCGGGGTGGGTTTGGGGTCCCGGGTGACCCAGGGGGTCTCAGGGTGGGTTTTGGGGTCCCAGGATGAATGCTGGGGTTCAGGGTGCCCCGGGGGCTCTCAGGGTGGGTTTGGGGTCCCGGGTGACCCCCCGTCCCCCCAGGTTCGAGGTGGACGCCTCCTCTCCGGGCGCGGGCGGCTGCTGCGGGGACGGCTCCAGCTACGAGATCCTGAGCCGCAGCACGCGCTTCGGGGACCCCCACCCCGGGGGCAGCCCCTGCGCCGGCTGCTGCCGCTGAGCCCCCCGGGACCCCCACCCACCTCGGCCTTTGGGGGGCTTTTGTTGGTTTTTCTTATTTTTAAATTTTATTTTGGATTTTTTTTGTTGGTTTTTTTTTTCCAGCCGTTTTGTTTGTACGGGATAAATAAATAAGGAGCGAGCTTTAATTGCGGCTGGCGTGCTGGGGGCGGGGCTATGCTAATGAGCAGTGTGGTTTATACGCTATTATAAAATATGTTAATGAGGGGGGCGTGGTAACAGCATAGGGGCGGGTTCTAGCGACGCCAAAGCCGCGCGCCGGAAGTGACGTCACACAGCGCGCCGCCGCCATGATGCCGCCCGCCGCCCTCATCGCCCGCTCCCTCCTGCGCTCCGCCGCCCGCCCTGGCCCGGCCCCGCGGGGGCTCCGCTCGGGGCCCGCGCAGAGCCCCGTGAGCGCCGCGGTGAGCGCGGGGGGCGCCGAGGGGGGCGCGGGGTGACCTTGGCGGGGCCGCGCGCGGCTCTGACGGCGCTGTGCCCGCAGGAGTCCGCCCTGGGCCTGGCCGCCGTGTTCGCCTCGTTCTTCGTGCCCGCGGCCTGGGTGCTCGGCCGCATCCACGACTACCGGAAACGCGAGGGGGAGGAGGAGTGACCGCGCCGGCACCGCCGGAACCGGGACCGGGAACGGGAACGGGACCAGCACCGGGAACGGGACCAGCACCGGGACCAGCACCGGGACCAGCACCGCGACCAGCGGAGCCGCCCCCGCCATGGGACCCCCCCGAGCCCCCGCCCCAATAAAGCCGCGGATCTCCCTGAGCCGCCATGGCGTCACTGATGGCGTCACTGATGGCGTCACGGGGAACGGCGCCGTTGGGGTGCGGGTGAGGGGTTGCTAAGGGCGGGGCTTGTTGCCAGCCCCCCCGAGCCCCCGCCCCAATAAAGCCGCGGATCTCCCTGAGCCGCCATGGCGTCACTGATGGCGTCACTGATGGCGTCACGGGGAACGGCGCCGTTGGGGTGCGGGTGAGGGGTTGCTAAGGGCGGGGCTTGTTGCCAGGGGCGGGGCCAGCTCGGCAAAAGGATTAAGGGGCGGAGCTTGATTGGGGCGGAACCAGCGCTGTGGGTGGAGGATGCTCTTAGGGG